ATGACCTATTTAGAACATTTTTCATACTGTATAGGGCGCACCGGATTAAGGCACATAAGATACTGCAGTCAAACGTTTGACTGGGATTGCGTTATGCATCCACTATGTGCTAAGGCTAAAGGGAATGTAGTGAGTGCGCGGCGCCGGATGTGAGGCGTTTATTTAGTAAGCATGAGCGCGCTGAAGCGAGCACGTACATCCGCAGCCTGACTCATACGAGTATTCAATGTGCGCGGCTCGCTAACAGCAACAGCTGGCTGATTTGAATGAGACGACCTGGTGACGCGCGAGCAGCACCGGGGACAGTCTAGTCTGTTAAGAGTGAGCGCTCGTGAGCGGGCACGTGATTTACACACATAAAAATACGTACAACTTTGTTTTTCTTCTTCATTTTCTTTGCTTTATTGGCGGTAGTCCAGTGTTCCCCTTTGTGTTTGGCGGTTTCGCCGGGTTCCGCAAGGAAGTTAGAGAAAATAGAGTCAAAGGTTATATGACGCCATAAACGGAAATAGAGAAACGTCCCGTGTCTTCGAATTGAACTATAAATTTCTCCGTATTTTAAAGTTGGTGGAAACTGTCGGGATAATGTAAGTACGCATCTAATATAAATATATAACATAGATACAGTTATTTTTGCTATTTTTAAAGCAGAAAAATTACATATTGTGGCTTTAAGACTAGTTCTCAGCAGTTTATGCAACTGGCAGACAGAATTTGAGTCAGACCACTAGATGGCGGTGTCTCCATTGGTCTGTTATTGCTTTCTCTACAGACACACGACAGAGAAAAGGTGAATGTGGTTCTAGGTTCGAATCAATTGGCTTTATGCACAGCTGCACTACTTCCTGAAGTTCAGCCAGCTCCTTTGTGTCTGCCATTATTGAACAAACTGATTAATTAAGGTGTGCCTGACCTCAGTAGTCACAACAACAATAATCAGACACACCTGAAGTTATTAAGTTTGGCCAATAATGGCAGACAGGAAACAAAGGAGCTGGCTGAAGTTCAGGAAGTAGTCCAGCTGTGCATAAAGCCTATTACAATCGTCCAGATGTAGTGTCTCTGCCCATATAGACGTAAAATATTGAAATATAAATGCTCAGAAAATGCATTTAATACCAATATATTGAAACGTCTGTTTATATAGGCTACTCCATTAATAAAGGAGTCCAGCCATTGGAAAAATATCAGTCCACATGCATTTTATATTTAATATGAGGGAAATAGACATATATGTGTGACACAATAAATCTTTGACTTTTAGGTAGCAAAATATTTTTTTTTAGAAAATTCTACTAGACCAATAAATCATGAAATTTCACACATCCACCATCTCTTGAGTTTTATTAAAAAATCTTTAACTTTTAGGAAGCTAAATATTTTTTTTATGAATTCTGTCAATTACACTAAGGTTAGATTTCATTGAAGGTAAATTGGAGCGGCCACACTGAGCTGTGCGTAACGCCCACAGACGTGAAGTGAACGAGACAGAGGCTGCCCGGTACTGTTTGAAATGGTTAACTCTCTGGCGATGCATGTGCAAAACAGATTTAACTAATCGTAAAGTCAATCAGGATACTAACACAGCCTACTGGCCTGAACTAAAAAGACCTCCCTCCTCTCACAACATAGTTCCCACGTCCCTGTATCTGCCTTAGATTTTTTTCTAACACTCATTCAAACCTTCTGAGATAATGTACAACGATTGTCTTTGCAGTATTTGATGTAGACTTATGACATGTGCCTCATTTGAGTCAGGAGAAAGCCAGCCTGCATGCATTTTAGTACAAAAGGTCAATTTCTTGTCTTGATAAGTTTTACGAGACATATTTCATGGAAGCCCCTGTTTGATGTAAAGGGGTTTTATGTTAGTTAAATAATCAACTTATAAATGTTAAGGCTTTTTTTAAAGACACACTTCTGTCTGTCTAGCCAGCATAGCCTGCGAACAAATGTCTTATTCAATTTATTTTAGTAGTACATAATGCACATCTTGAAAAACATATAGGCTAGCCTACTTTATGGAAGAAAAAAAATATTACTTTAAATCTATTATATTAATTTACAAATTAATGGGTTGACTTCACTTTTATTTTCTTCATTCTTTTAGTTTTTATATAATCTCTTGAGACAAAAGTATATGTTTCGATACATTAAAAATGCACATTTTCTGGGGGGTATTCAAGATCAGTGTTGCTTAAATTTGCATATTTGTTGTATTTACCCCAGGGTGTTGTATACCTTTAAAAAGACACTGATTTTAATTTTTACCTAAATGTATGCATCATCTTTCATGTTAAATTCTTACATTCCATCAATAAATTCAGTTATAATAATAAAACGGGGCTGTTACCAATCAAATTAAATAATTTAGCCTACACTGCAAAATTGAAACTCCAATAAATAGCCTAATGCTATGAGATTGATAAAACAAATTACAAAATAAATAAATAAATGTAATAATATTTTTAAGCTTGGAACTAAACCGCCAGTAGGTGGCGGCCGTCTTAATAAGTGAGTCGTTCAAACGATTCGTTCAAAAACGCTGATAATCATGATCATTCAAAAACAAAATACACCGCACTGATTGTTGTTTTCCTTTGGAACTATTTTCGTCGGTGAAATAACTAAAATATTCAGTAGTGTCTAAAATGTAAATAACTTAGGCTACTTGTTTATCATGATGAATATTTATGATAATTAAATAGGCTACTTAGTGAGCAAAACAACTCCCTTCAATTGTAAGAAAAAAATATTTTTCCGTGCTTGTGAACTAACATGAACTAACAATGAACAGCTGTATTTGTATTAACTAACGTTAACGAAGATGAACAAAAACAGTAACAAATGTATTGCTCATGGTTAGTTCATGTTAATACTATTGTTTAATAATACTAATGTTTAATAAATGAACCTTATTGTAAAGTGTTAACAAAAAAATAATAAACAAACAAATAACAAACTAACTAAACTAAATCATGATTGCTTAATTAATCTGTGCACCATTAGGCTAACTATGAGCCAAAACTGAATTTCGAGCTGGCAAGAAAAACTCCTCATGCTCTTTATATATACCAGGGAATACACAGCATATTAACAATATATATATGCTGTATTCCCTGGTTGCTGTTTTTTTATTCAGACATAATTAGTTACTTTTTGTCAAAGTTGAGTTCATGTTGATTTAGGATCAGTTTTTTTATTAGTCGGACACAGAGAAAACATTTTGTTATTCATACTAGCTACATATAATAGCTTGATCAGTCACACGAAAGTAATCAGAATCTATTGACAGTGGAAGACAATTATTTCAAAATATAAAATTTTACACCAAAATTCAATATAAATGTTAGTCAGGGTGCACAGTTTATTAAGCAATCACGATTTGTTTATTTAATTATTTAACATGTATGTGTGAATTAAAAGTACCATTTTGGCAATGAGAACATGTCTGCGTCAAATAAAGATAAAGATGTGCACTGGAGTCGGGCGTGTTTATTGAACCAAATCAGATAAGAGTAAATCGAGTGTCTGATTGGCTACATGATGAAGGTGGACCTGCCCTCCACTTTGCACTTGTGAAACTCAGTGAGTGAGAGAACGCAGGTAAAAGAAAGACGCAACTGTACAGATCGGCCTGGAACTTTTTCGCCCCATGCACATTACAAGTCATTCAACACATTTTTTTTATTTATTTTTTTTTACGCAAAGTTTGATTTTACGCAATTCATCTGTTTTGCAGTTCCTGCCTCTGTTGTTTTGGCTTGCAGATTGCTGGTTACAGGCTTGCAATACTTTTGGACGCATTTGTGCACAAAAACCGTGCCAAAAGTGTAAGCGCGGAAAATAAAAGTCTGAAGAAACATATCCCATTTATTTTGCGTTAGCATGAAGCTGCAGCTTTAAAATACATGAATGGTCTCTATGCACTGCGGTATTTCCGGTGAAGATCTAAGGATGCTCGATAACTTCCGCCGATCGTAGAGTCTAATGCAATAACGAAAATTTATATTGAATTTTATAATCCATGGTTATACTAAAGAAACGTTAGTCACAAAAACAGTGTTTACGCTTCTTTTTAAAATTATATTTAATAAGTAAATTTCATCTAAACGTATGAAAGTTTCATTTCAAAGACGGGAGGACAGTAAATTTTGAAGACTCTGCCATAATCCCGTTTTCCTCGGTTTTCCCGCTTTAATCTCCAAAACCGGAAACGGAAGAGCATCCTTGCGTCAAATGCGGAATTTATTTTACCCTGCACATGCGCTTCATCATTTTACCTTCATATCCAAACACTATAGGCTAATCGCGCACCACTCCAATACATAAACGTCCCCTACTTCTCCACTAGGTGGCGATGTATTATGTTTACCGTTTGGTAAAATAGTAGCATATACGTCCTTGCTTTAAAAAAATCTAGAAAGATGGAGTGGTTGTAAACCAGTTGAAGGTCAGCTTGGGCATCCTGGGAGACCAGCTAGTTTGGTTCAAGCTAGTTTTATTACACCTTCTTTTAGCTGGTATCACTGGCTGTGATCATCTGCAATGTGGAGAGCATCAACCACAAAACATTACGTTTTTTATGTTTTAACTGCATATTGAACAACACACACACAACTTACAAGCAGTCTAAAAGCTTCAATCGCCATGCAACTTAGCCTTCCTTTAAAAAAATCAGTTACAATTTACAGTTCAACACACTTTTAATTTAACAAACCAAACGATTGGGAAAATCAAGACATGATTACTTTTTGATTTGTGTGGGTTAATAGAGGTAGGCTAAGCAAAGAAGTTGCAATTGCCAGTTTAACAAAACTGCACATCGATTTACTTTAAAACAAGTAAAATATACTTATGAAAATGTTTTGCAAATCTCCAGACTCCAGTGAAACTTGAAATCAATCTCCTCTTAAGCCTCATGCAACTACCTTTGGTTTGAAGTAACCCGGCCCATCTGGTGAAGAGAGTGAGTGGCCCAAAACTCAAAGAACTGGGGGGAGAAGTGGAGATAGAGGAGTGCAGATCGGATCGAAAACAGATCTCCCACCGCACATCACAACCAACGACTCAACAAACTTGCTTGGTGTACATTTCTGCCGTGTTGACGGCTAAATTACTTTTTAATGTTCGAGTAGGCTAAGTACAGTAATTTGGAGACGCGTGTGATGGATCGTCAAAGTTTGCGAGGTGGTGCAACTGTAGCGCTTCGTCGTCCCCGAATGATGTAGTTTTGCTAAAACATGTTGCTCTTGCAAAACAAAATAAACCGCTGATGGAGTTTCGTGACAGAATCACTTTTAACATTTTTGTTTTAAGTACAATTGCGTTGTTTTTCGGATGCACGCTGGACAACTGCAACTGACGAACTAGGCTATACAACATCAAAAGAGGTAAATATGTATTTCGTTATGATGATTTACTCTTAAGGTTACTGATCGCAATCTGTACGCAGCTTGAATATGTTTTCAATTCATTAGGCTACATCTTTCAGTTGTTACAAGTGTCGCGACATTAACTTTGCTGCAGCATGTGTCATATGAAATAACTATGCTGACGAGAAGAGATTTTGGCGCTTTACATTTCGTAACTTAGAGGCATATTGTGACTCCAAGCTCAAACTTTTGTCAACTTGTGTCCCATCCAGTTAGGGATGGGAATCGTTAAGAATTTAGCGTTTCGGATTCCTCCAAACGATTCCGGTTCTTTAATGGTTCTAATAAAGTTTCGTTTTGTATTTTAAAGTAGGCTAATAGGCTATTTGTTTTGATTGCCGAACGAATATCCAATAGCTGTTATGGGCATATAAATGAGTCGATTATTACTGAATAAATTTGATTCACTTACTGAACTAAAAGTTAGGCTAGTAAATGTTAGAGGGTTGTATTTTGGAAACATAAAAGTATTACTGAGTGATTGCTCGTTTGATAACGTTAATGTTAAATTCGCGTTTTGTTGTTAAATAGCCTAAACATGTTTAAATGTCTGTTGGCTACAGTAGGCTATATGATTTCTCATATGTTGTTACCTGCTCAAATCTGAAATTACCTCTGCAACTGGGCAACAGACTGTTGAGAACAGAAAATACAATAAATATTCTCACTTATCGCGTTGTAGTTTTTGAATCATTAAAAGAATCGGCTCACAAGAGTCATTCGTTTGGAATCATGTCATCCCTTCATGAGTTGGTCTACGCTTTTCCACGCTATTCACACTGTTTGTTTGTGATTCACCTAAAAGAACCGATTGATAAGAGTCGTTGGTAATCGTAGGTAGCCTACTATTCCAGTTTAAGATTCAGAGAAAGTGTTTAAACGTTTTTTTTAACGTTTCTGAATAAAAAACCGGGTTCTCAGTTCCTTCAAAATATTGAATCATAGTTCATAGTTATGTAAACTGAAAAGTTCCTAAAGAATTTTTTTTTTAATTTGATATATATATATAGTATGTCGGCTATAATTTAGCTACCAAAGAGTAGCAAACAAACTCAAGTTACTATAGTTGCTACTAACTTCCTACAAAAATATTGCAAATAATTGAATGTATTATGTAAATATATTGTTTTGTTTTTGTTATGTTTAAAGGATTGGCAAAAAGAGTGGCAAGAGTGTGCCTTGTTTTCCTGAAAAACAGAAAAGTGTGTGCTTGTGTTAAATTGAATGTGATGCCCAGTTGAGAGCATTAGCATAAGAATAAAAGGTCTTAGTGAATTTGCCATTGTGTAGAATGAGAAGCGCCAGCAGTCAGAGGCAGAGCGAGTGAAAGGATTCAAAAAGGGGGAAAAAAATGATGGCCCATTCAGATTATTCAGCCTGGTTTGGGCTATGGTCATCAGCTTCTTAAACATGGGTTGGCCGTGTCACTTTCATCTTCTCTTCCTGCTGCTCTACACATTTTCACACATTTCCCTCTTGTCCTGCTGCCTAAATCAGGGCTGTTCAGCCTTGGAATTCCGCGGGAGATTTTAACAAACGCTCATAAAAGGGAGGGACCTTGAATGACATTGCACATGCACCGCACAAGGACGAGACAAGACAGTGCAGTGACAATCATAGAAAAAGAACAGTAACTCTATTGTTAGGATGTAAAACATTGAAATTTCTATACAGAAAATAGGATGTATTATAAATGTTTAGTCACCGTTAAATCAAAAGTGAAAGTTCTTTGTTTTTTTTTTATGAAATATTGCAGTATTTATTATAAATTATTTTAAAATAATGTTCGTCTTGCCACGACTTCTTTTCTCACATGAGATCACAACAAAAGCAAACAACAATTGCAGTCAGTTCCTGGTGGAAAAAATCAAGTACCACCCTACACTTTTTGTTTTGTTCAAGAATCATTAGGAAAGAAAAGACCATCGCAACTTCCTTTTCATGCAGACTCTTATGATAGAGATACAGTTATTTTCATTGTACATCCTCAGCAGACCCAGGAAATGAATTGTCAACAGAAAAACCTGAAATTATTTAGAATCTGATCTAGAACTAGACTTTGTATCTTTGATCAATGTTGTGTGCCGGGCAAGACCTGAATCTCTTTATCGGTAAGAAAAAGCTTTGAGGAGTGCCTGAAGTACACTTGTGCCTCAAAGTGAATTGATGAGACTTTAATGGCCGTTTAAAGTGCTGTGAAAGACAGCTGTGTTTCAAGTTTGTGTGCTGCGTCTCTAGTGTGGGACTGAATTGAAGATGAGGGCAGTGTGGTGAGAAAACAGAGATGTGAGAAGTGGTAGCTGCTTACATTCATTTGCCCTCTCAAAGGCTGTTCTTTGAAACCCATCTCCTCAGCTTTGGCCCGTAGGACACGGGACAATCCCTGCATTTTAGTAGTTTGTGTCGGACACCCCTCCAGACATCCGCCTCATTCTCTCACAAGTGTCTGGGGTTAATAAGGATCACATCACATCCGGTTTATGAGTGTGGATGAGATCCTTCACAGCTTGTTCCTCCTTCATTCTCTCATGCAACTATCAGGGCATTGTTAAAGGGTTAGTTCACCCAAAAGTGAAAATTCTATCTTTGATTCCAAACCTGTAATAGTTTTATTCTTCTTCAGAACACAAATTAAAGGAGTTCACTTTAAAAAAAAAAAAAAAAAAAAAAATTTTGCTGATAATTTACTCACCCCCATGTCATCGAAGATATCCACGTCATTCTTTCTTCAGTTGAAAAGAAGTTAAGGTTTTTGTTGAAAACATTCCAGGATTTTTCTCCATATAATGCACTTTACTGGGAACCAAACGGTTCAAGGTCCAAAAGACAGTTTCAATTCAAACTGTTGAAAGGGCTTTAAATGGTTTTAGACGATGAATAAGGGTCTTATCAAGCGAAAGGATCGCTCTTTTAAAAAAAAATAACAAAGTTTAAGTTTTATAAGCTCAAATGGTCACCTGTATTGCGATGCGCATTTGTGACTCTCCTATTCGAATTCGTTCATCAAAATTAAGTCAACACGTTCATTTTGTTCGTGGAATGAACCAAATTACATGAAAAAAGATTTGTTCATTTTGATAAACCAGTTCGAACAGGAGAGTCACGAACGCACATCACAGAACAGATCAAGGCGACCATTTCAGCTTATAAAACGTAGACTTTGTTATTTATTTATTAAATGAATGATCGTTTTGCTTGATAAGACCCTTATTCATCATTTGAAATCGTTTAAAGCCCTTTGAACATTTTGCAGTTTGCACGGAAACTGTCTTTTGGACCTTGAACCGTTTGGTTCCCATTGAAGTCCATTATATGGAGAAAAATCCTGGAATGTTTTCATCAAAAACCTTAATTTCTTTTCTACTGAAGAAAGAATGACATGGACATCTTGGATGAGATGGGGGTGAGTAAATTATCGGTAAATTATAGGGATTAATGACAGATTTTTTCAAATTTTGGCTGAACTATCCCTTTAAGTCTGTACAGATATCAACACGGAAACCACACACACACGCAAATGTATATAAAAAGACTTTAATATGCCATTAAATAGCATATGGCACATAAGTGAAAGACCAAAGTTTGATTGATTGATCTTATTAGTCATCATCAACTGTTGCCAAGCCTAAAGGAAATAAGGCCCATTACATGGAGTCTTGTTGCCTTAGATGAAATAGCAAGTTTTCATTTTGAGGGACTGCTTGATCTTTTACAGTGGAGACTCACCATATGTTTTTTTTTTAATAAATAATGCAGCAGTGCAGTATTATGAATTCCAGATCCCAGTGCATTGGGTAAAAGTTGTTGGTTTAATGCATGCGCATGTGTGCGGGTAAAGAAAGTACACAAAGCAGGAACGCTGTTCACCTTCCTCAAAGGCTTGTTAAGCTGTAAGCCTTCTGCTATGTTCTCTTTCAAAGTTTTATTTTATTATTATTATTATTTTTTGCTCTTAACTCTTTCATTTCTTTAGTGCTGTTAAGCTGGCATGCCACTGTTTAAAGACAGCTGGAAAATGAACAGTTGAAATGTATACTGTTTACATTAAGTTATATTTGACTTGCCAGTGCTGTGACTCACAGTGAATGGCTAACGTTTCCCAAACCACACGTCCACCTGTGATTCATGCAAACCTCCAGACACAGTATGCGGAGGAGGACGGACCTAAATTTATTTTATTAGCTGACCACGAATAAACATCTTACTAGACCAAAATTACAAGTCTGTATTTGAATTTTAGATGAGGTGTAGTGACAGCTGAGTCTGTTGGAATATCCATAGAACATGAAAACAAGCTGTGGTGCTGGGAATTGTATGTAGATTACTGTCAGAATGAGTTCAGTGGTTCTCAAACTGCACGGGAGTTTCCCCGGCTGGTAGACGCACAACTCAATATAGCTTTTTTTTAACTTTATTTATTTTAGTTTATTTAATGTTCAGTGTTTTATTTCTATTTTATGATCCATATACACCTTTATACAGGAGCAATCCATCCAGCGCATTTATATTCTTGAACCATAAAAAGTCCACTGAAGTGAATATAATTGTTATACATGACCAGCTGTTTAATTTTAAATATAAAAAAAAATGGGAAAAATCAGGGAAAATATGGGAACATCAGTTTCAGTGCAACCAGTGTAGATTGATTCCCAAACGAATGACTGAATTGAGTCTTTTTTTGTTAGTGAATCAAAAACAAATAGAACAACCGGTGTAGATCGATTCCCAAACGAATAACTCCGAATCGATTCTTAGTGACTAAAAAACATATAGCACTGCACAACCAGTGCAGCGTAGATTGATTTACAACCAAATGATTCCAGTAAGTATTTTTTTTTCCTAGTGGATCAAAAACAGTGCAATTAACGTAAACTGATTCCTGAAACAAATGACAATTTAAAGGAGTAGTTAACTTTTGAAAAACACTTTTGCTGATAATTTACTCATCCCCATGTTAC